CCCCAAAACCCCAAAACCCCAAAACCCCAAAACCCCAAAACCCCGTGACAAAGAAGCCTAGTTGAAGTCTGATTCTAGGTTTCAAGGAGGGAGTGAGAATTTGCACTTTTAGAGCTGTCAAGCCTGTTCATATGACAACCTTCCTCCTCCTTTCTGAGTCGTTGTCAAAATCCCTGGGAAAGAGCAACGGTATCTGTACGATAGATGATGAATAAGAATGAGCCTCATACAAAGAGTAAGGCTATAGGTAATCCTCCAAAGATTCCACAGATTCCGCAGTATAGTTTAAAAGTAAGCCAGATTGTCAAGAGAATAAAGATTCCCCAATATCCTATCATGGATAAAATAGTTGCATAATTTTGGATACCCATCGCCTTGACAGTTCCTTGAGAGATTCCTTGTGTGTAGTCATTAATAGTGCTTAATGAGATCAGAGGTATTGCTGTGATTATCATCTCGATAATTTCTTCATCCTGAGTGAACAGATTAGGAATGTGATACCTCAAAATAAGCTTTAATGTCCCAAGAATCAAACTCAGTGTAAACCCTATCATTGCAGCTAGGTTTCTGTAGACTTTAGCACTATTCGGATTCATCGCTCCAAGACTATTGCTTATAAGAGCGTTTGCGGCATAACAAAATCCAAGAGGAATCATGTAGACAAAGTCGAGGGTATTGAATAAAATGACTCAAGCTCCCAGTTCTTTTTCCCCAAAAAACCCTCCAAAAATCGTGATCATTTCTCTCGACCAATACTCCAGAGCTGTAAGCATCATGGATGGGATGCCATACCTCATGTACTGCCAGAGTCCAAAGAAGGAGTCCTTGTTAATCCAGCGCATGCTGTTCTCCCTGACTGAGTCCTTCTTCAGTGTCACATAGATCATTGGCACTAGGTAGTTCATGAAATATGCAATTGATGTGACAATAGCGATCCCACTAATTGATAAATCAAACTTAGACATGAAAAGATATAGCTATCAGGGATGTCAGATTCAGTTAAATATCTGGGAATTTGTAACTACATAGAATGCTCCCTGAGTTCCAAGAAACTTTCTCAACAACTCTGTTTGACAGAATCCCCATACTCCAGGAACTAGGATTTTTATAAATAGTCCTGCTACCTCTGCTGATCTAGTTGGCTGGCCTGCAGATATCGAGATAGGAGTGATGAAATACAACAATATCGCTTGAGGCACAAACAAAATCGTCAATACAATTTTAGCTCTGGTGTAATATATTCCAGCTAAATAGTTTTCCCATTTCCAAAGGCTTGAGATGAGAGTGTTTAAATCCCAACAGCTAGTCCTACTCCAAGTGAGATCATTGTGACACAAATAGTAGTTATACCAAGCCCTGCTCCAGAAACAAGAGTAGGATCTCCTAACCTCCCAATTACCACAAAATTCATAATATCAATGACCCTCCTCAAGATCATCCCTCCTGATGAAGGCAGGGCATATTTTCACATCTGGATCAACCCCTGTGCATAACCAATTTTCTCTGAATCCTCGACTGTAGCTTCAATATAACTTCCTAAATCACTTGAACTCTTCTTGGAACTCTCTATACTCATCAGTCCACCAAGCCCCAAAACCAAAAACTACCTGAAAACAAATCCTTGCCGTTTCTGTCTGACATCTCCATTTCAGAGTCAGACATGCTTCCTAAATTCATAGTTCAAATCACTCACAAAACTCAATAACCCTAACTCAACCTGGGGTTTTGGGGTTTTGGGGTTTTGGGG